GCCTTATAACTGTCAAAGTCAAGAGATACACAAAATTTGATCAGACTTAGAATACGGGTCTTCAAAATAAAATTTTCCCTCCTTGCCTTTCAGGGCTTCCGTAGCTAATGCAAAATAATTACTTTAATCCAAACAATAATTTCAGTTTACTCCAACATGTACATTATTTGCTTTGAAGCAAACTGAGAAAAACAATTTTGAATAAATAAAACATAATTTTCAATTAGTTTGATTTAAAACAGCACTTTAAATAAATGAGACAGTGGTTGCACTTTTTTCAGTGTGCATTAGAAGCTCAAATAAGAATTTAAATTTGCTGGTGTGAAAAATGCGTGACACGAAAGTTGTCCTTTGTTATTCCTTCGACATTGCAGATGCTCTAACTATAATTTCTACCAAATCTTGGAGCAGCATGCTCAAGAATGTACCTATTTATGGATAAAATATTTTTACTGAGTTGATCTACCAGAAAAAATTGTCTTCTTACTAATGCAGTTTTACTATCTAGAAAATTAGTACGTTACCTTGAACACAAATGTCAGGTTCTGCAAAGTCTTAATATTAAAAAAGAAGAAAGGAAACAGCCAGTATTATGTAGAGAAAACAAACATTTGCTAGCAAGATCTTTAAAACAAATGGCTTGTCAACATAGCACCAGATATTTTTAAAAACAGATTTCCTTTTATTTGCATTTCCTATCCAATTAAAAATATGAGTTTTTGGCAAGAACCACAAATGTTTCATAAAGACTTGCCAAAGTATGGCCCATGTAGTTATATATTACAGCTGGAGTAAGTTTTTGTCATGTGACTATGTGCGTAGGTGGGCCCCTATTGGCCAAATCTGGCCTGCAGGTCGCCAGTTGCCCATCCTTGGTCCAAGTTATTAACTGACTTCAGATCTAGTTTAAGTATTTACTTATATATTTCCTTTATATTATCCTGCTGTTTTACATGATTGTTGAACAAAATTAACATGATTATTAATTATATTAATTATTGTAAAAATATTACAAATAATTTGTGATGCAGATCAAGTTGGGCTTGGTGTTAAATAAATGGGAGCCATCTTTGCTCCTCCAGTATGTCACTAGTTCTAGCAGTGGACGTGATAGGCGGGTCCTAGTGATATTTAACTCTGTTTAAACTTTGTTTAAAAAGGATCAGGGTATACAGAAAAAAATCTTTACAGAAACATTTACATGTTTGCATCATATTTTGCACATTCCACACATCACTTTATGCCCCAGATTAAATTTCCTGGGTTTATTTGCTTCATTCTTATTTGGTCGCCATTAAAATTTGATCATGTGTTGAAATGGTTAGCTGAGAGGAAAATATTATTGTGATTAAAAAAATGAGAAAACAGTTAAAGCTGCTGTATGTGGTTTCTTGAAAACCCAAAAACTTCAAAAAATTTTGAACAGATACAACCTTCAAGTCCCTCCCCCCTGCTCTCAGCCCCCCTTCCTAAGCTCCTCCCCCACAGCAGGGCCCAGAGTCAGGAGCACTCATGCTTGTAAACAGGAGGAAGAGTGTGGGGCACAGACCGTAACACACAGAGCTCAGAGCTAAGCTGCCATCACAGGTAGGAAAAAACCATCAACAATATACAGTATTTTAAACTATCATGTCTTGCCCATACTTTATCTACACAAGTGCTCTTTTTGTCATAACGTTACATGTAAATTATGTTGCACTCTTTCTATAAGTTATAAATAGCTATCAAGCTAACATAACACCGAAGCTTCATAGTGGGTCACGAGGACCGGAATTCAGAACCATTTTAGGATTTCAGCCACATGACAAGCCTGTGTATTAGTATTTTTCAGCTCTTGCTTTGCACAGTGTAATATTTTATCTTTATGCTCTGCAGCTCGTTTTTGACAATCATCAACTACCAGCTGATGGAGAGAAGCTGTGGTGAAGAATCACGCAGGTCACTGGGAGACGCAGCAGCGTGGGTTCAGCTCCTGAGAACCTCAGCAGGACATCTGCATCTCAACCCTACCTTCCACTCATCAAACCATATATTCTGCAGGAAGGAGTCTTGTTTCTGGCCAGGAGGATCTGTAGCTGAGCTTACAGATGATGCTGAAGACAACAGGCAGTTTGTGGCTTGTACTTCTGGTCAGAGCAGGCTGCTGAGTGGACTTCAAGGACTGTTTTAAACATCTTCATGGACAATACAGTGGATTTATTCCCTTGAGGCTATACATTTTTAATACTGTCTTGCCATGTATTTTCATTTTCCTATTTAAATTAATATTTCCATTATAATTTTGGTAAATATTCTTCAATAAAGTGTTAAATGGTTTTAGTTTTTGGTAATTGCTTATTAGTTAAAACTAAAGCATCACTTTACCATTTTACATTACCGAATTATCTTTTGATCAATTACAAAACACAAACTTACATTAGGAATCATGATAAATCACTGGGTCAGTGCTAGACATGCAAAACAAGAACTAACATCTTAACAATATGCTCTTAAAAACTTCTCTTTTTTAATAGACACTGTTATTTTAGGTCTCTTGTATGAATACACTGAAACATGTCCAGTATGTCTGAAGGGACCTAAAATAACTTTGGCTAGTAAAAAAAAGTTTTTAAAGATTAATCAGATATATAGGCACAATGAACTTCACAGGATTATTAAATATATGCTTTATTTGACATATGGGTAAAATAAATCTGTTATTTTTTTTGCACAGGTAAATACATTTGTAGCATTTTCGTGCATATAAATAATCATTTCTAATTAGATTTCACTTGTTCCTATGACAACGGCTTAGAAAGGAAGAAAACCCCCCACTCTTTTACTTCAGACTATATTTAAGGATGTTGCATGGAATTTCCTTTGTGGCTTGAATTAACATCTCTTACACAAACCCCCACCAGACTTCCTGACGCCTTACTGTTAATAGATAAGAATTGCCACATTCCTGAACCCCCACAAGTTTGAGTGACCAGAAGGACTGACTGTTGGTTCCTCTTCAAAGGGAACATAAATGCCTTTAACCAGACTCTTCAATGACTGAGAACAAAGGACCTACATTCTTCATTAAATGTGGAAAAAAAGAGAACAAGATTGAATGTTTTGTACAACTGTCAGTTTTCATATATCTTAATCAAAGAAATGTGATTTACCTGTTTCTTTTTACAGAAAGAACAAAGCCCATTGAAGCTCTACTGTGTTCTCTTTTTAACTGTTTGCCCACTAAGGACTCAATGTGGTAACTGTGTATTGTGTTTAATTGTTTTGATGAAATGTTTTCCTGAAGAAGGTGTGTGTTTTCTTCCATGATTTAATCCTTATAAACTCAGGACTTGAATTTTAATAATTAAGTGTGACACTCTTATTTTACTGAGGCAAGCAGATGTCTCTCCCTTTAATTAGATGTGAGATAATCAAACTAAAACCCTCCTTGTTTGTCTTCAAAGTAAACCTTTACCTCCAACAGACTTGCTGAAATCTTTTCCTGTATAAGGTGTAACATTTTTATTGGCCAACTAAAACCTTGACTCCGCCCATAACAGAGGTTTTAAAAAGCTTAGCGCACTCCCAATCTCTTAGAAGAAGTAGCAGAAGAAGACCAAAGAGTTTTTGAGAGTTTTTCAACATCAGAAGCAGCTTTTCAGAAGCTCAGCAGAGGCCCTTCCTGCCAGCCCCTCCCCATGGGCTGGGCAGGATGGTGGCCCTCCTGCATCTTCCGCTGGGTTGAATGAACAGCCAACGTTTAATATCGACTCAACATCTGAGTTTGATTTTATAGAAGTTAAATAAGCTAATTGTAATTCATGTGTTGTTTTTAGTTCATTTTCTCTACAAAGTTGAAATCAAATTAAGAAGTCTTGCAGCCGCCTGGGGAAGACCGGACCACATTGTCACCAGGGAGCGACCCCCTTCTCTGACCAAGGGACCAGTCGAGTTTTACAGGCAGACCGCCTGACATCCAGCTTGCATGGAGAGCCTACCTGGGAAACGACCCCCAGAGATGACTTTCAATCGCTGACTTACCCTCCTGGTACCCACACGGCGGAACAAAAGGGTAAAAGTGAACATTTGTCCTGGTGACAAACAGGTGCTCAGACGTAATTTGATTCTTATCTTTGTATGAGATTTGGTAAACAAAACGATTTTTCTCCATAATTTAACTAGGACCCCCTTAGTTAAATCCTCAGCTAAAAGCAAACTCACCTCACCTCACTCCAAGCCTCAAACTCACCTCTCAGTGTTTATTTTATATATATTTGTTGTTTGTTTGTTTATTTGTTTGTTTGTTTTGTTGTTATTCACTCGTGATTGCAAACTCTTTCCGTTTCTACATGGTTCAATTATGTCATCGCTCATTCCTCACCATAGTTGTAAATACATTTAATCTGTAAATAAATGGCCCGTGGAGAACGTGCCAATATAAGCTAATGTCACTTTTGTGTCTTGATAAAGTATTATTGGTTCTGATAAGACAAGAATTCAAACGATCTTGGGTACATTTATTGTGAGACTGATTACAATAAAGTTACAGGTTTTCGTCTCTTTCCTGGGTTAATCCTTGACCAAATTAAGAGCGTGGTGCTTCGAGGTAAGATAATTTGCGTATTTAAATAATTCACAAATTATCCATTTTAGAATATACCCAAAACCCATACACATTATTGTTGAAAGACGATTCCTCCACATTCCCGTGTGTCTGGGAATGTTTCTGACCTGTTAAAAGACCATAAAGTAGAAGATGTTTTAGATATTTTGATCACAAAAGAATTACATCCTGAGCGGGAAGAAAACTTTTTGGCTGCAAAATATCAGGAAATTGTGATGTCTGTGATGAGCAATAACCGCTTATTATTGTGATGATGATGATTTAACTTGTGATAAATGAATACATAAGTATCAGTGTTGATGTCTTTCAGCAAACATAAACTAAAACAATTTCGATTCCAACATGACAGTTTCTTTATGATTTTAAACATCTCCCCCATTAAACATTTTCTGATGCTCCTCATAGTGAAAAACACCCTTTCCTGCAGTGGTTCTAAATTCATGTATTAGTTGTTTCCCTGTTCCTCTGCAGGTCTAAGTTCTGCAGAAGCCTGTCAATCACCCAATAATTTAAATCAGGTGTGTCAAAGCAAGGAAATCACTAAAACATGCAGGACAGTGGGTCACGACTAGAACTGAGAATCACTGCTTTACTATTAGTTTTGTTATAAATAATAAAAACTTCTGAAAACAAGGTAAAGAATTTCAATATATTTTCTTACCGATCTGCGTTACCTACAACACTGGAGTGGATCGGGAAATGATGTGTGGTCATCTGAAGTATGGTTGTTGTTGTTTTAGCCAAATAAACATCCAGCCATCTACAAAAAACAATTACATAAATAATTTGTCAGGGTTGTCTTTTAATCACACACATTTAACTTTGTAATATACTCCTAACATGTCACACTGACGTTTTCATCTTTTATAGAAAGATGACATTCAGACAGAAGGTGAAAAAACATTACCCAGTATAGTTCCAAAAAGCCATGATCTTTCCTGGGTTTTTATTTATTTTTATAAGTTTTTTCTTGTAAGTGACCACAACTGCTGAGTTATTATTAATACAACTTCTATATTTCTAAACAAAAAGTAATCAGCAACAGCATATATTCTGTAGAACTAACACATGTTTTAATGTGTTTAATGTGTTGTTAAAAATAAATGTGAATAACACTAAAAACAAACATGAGTGCATTCTAATATCAGCCAGGGCTAACAGCAGGCCTGATTAGCTAAGTGCTAATGTTGATCAGGCATCATTGTATTTTATTTACTTTTATTTTCGACAGAGGCAGTGCACATTTACAGTAATTTCAACATATCTAACTGCTTTTAATAATGATCCACGACAGAATAAGTCAAGATAACTATATGTAGGTAAATATGAACAGCAGCTTACTGAGGTTAAACGAGTTAGCTGCTAACGTTAGCATTTATTTAACGTGTTATAATAAAACAAACATGTCGCTGGTGGTTCTGTAACCATCGCTAACTTTGTTGTGTAGTACTACAGCAGCTCTATGCTTTTTTTAAATAACGCTATTAAACATAAAAGGAAAGGAAAGCAGAGATACTAACTTGTCAAGCAGAAATGGCTAACTCTGCATCCCTCCTCTTCCTCCTGTGAAATCCACCTTGTTTTTTTCCGGGCTCGATCTAATTCTTTCTTTTCAACTTGGATTTCYTCCTGGGTCTTCTTCTGTTTCCCTGTGTTGGGTTTCAGAACAGGCTCCAATCCAGGTTGTAGGGTGTAGGTTGTTGGAGGGGTCAGCTTCACTCAGCTAGCTCAGCTAGCTTATTTGAACGAGAGCGTGCTACCTCGGCTGCGCGGGCAGGGACGGGGGGTGGGCAAGAACAGCTCAAACCTCGGTTTTGATTGGCTGTTCGGTCTCTGGGTCAGAGAGATTTTAACAGAGGGCAGTAGGACCACAGGGAGGAGCCAGAGGACTTTTTTTTCTTTTTTTCCCCAGAGATTATCTGTCCAATATCTGTCTGTCAGGACATAGTGACAGTTTTAACAAATATGTCAAAAATATATATTTTTAAAAGTTACAGACTGAACCTTTAAGCTAAGAATGTTTTCTTCTTCTATTTTGCTATTGATATTGTTATGTCCTCGCCACCTAGTGTCTTAGCCAGGTATGTGACTAAGTGGGGCGTGGGGCATGGG